TTCCGACTGGAGGAAACCCCCACCCCACCCCCGTAGCTGGTCCCGCGGCACACCCCGGCTGCTGGGGGGGACTGGACCGACGTCACCAGCCCTGCCCGCTCGCCGCCTCCCCCCTTCTGCAGCCAAGCTCCGGAGCATCCTGAACTAGCCGCCGCAAGGAGGTGGGGGCTCTCTGTGCCCGGAGCATCCTGGCCCCCAGCCCTGCTGGCATTTTGGAGGAGGACAGTCCGGGGGCTGCAGCCGTGGCTCTCAAAGACTCTGCATCCCGCCACGGGGGCCGTTCTCCGGGGGTTTATGTGGGGGATTCCTCCGGGCAGGGGAGAGGAGAGCCAGTCCCCCTGGATCCAGGCGAGGGGTTTTCCCGTGAGCATGCTTGTGGACCCACGGGGGGGGGGGGGCGGGGCCCTTGTGGTCAGAGCAGGGGTGGTCCCTTTGGATCGACGGACTGCCACGTGGCATACCAAAAAAAGTGGGCACATTTTGTGGAGGGGGGGGCGTTGTTGCCCCACTCAGCTTGCCTGTCGGATGTGGGGTACGCGTCTACCTCCTGCCAGCAGGAGGCGCCAGAGCCAAAGCCGGCCGCGGTCTCTGCTGGGTCCCTCTCCCGTTCAGACTGGCCTTGGGCAACGGGGAGAGAGAGACACACACAGACAGACAGACAGGCCAGCTCGCTACCCGTGAAGACCTGCGGGGCGTTCCTGGCTCCTCTCCACTTGTTGCCCAGGCCTGCTGCCCAGGCCTGCTGCCCACTCCCCAAAGAGCTGTTGGGTGCCGCAGGTCTTTTCTCCTGCTTGGGCCGCCGCCAGAGCCACGGTGGACGCCTCTATCACTGCCTTAGCCGAAGGGCAACGGGCGTGCCCGGCACCACTCGCTGGGTTCCTGGGCCCGGCTCTCCAGGGTTCTTCCTCTGCAAACCCGGCAGCCCCACACAGGTGCCTCACATCTGCCCCGCCAGCAGCAGCGGCCGGGTGCTGCCTTCCCACCACCACCTCCTCCTCCTCCTCCGGGCCCGGTGTTCACTGGGGAGGGGCAGCTTTTTAGTGCTGTAGCTGCCATTGGCCAGGGGCACATCTGGCGCCAGGCGAACCACACCGGTCAAGGTGCCCCCGGTGCCAGCAGGGGTGAGGAAGGCCCCCCCCCCAAGGTGTGTCTCTCGTCCCAGAGTGCCTCTGGAGGCTGCAGGCCGCGTTCTTCTCCGCGTTTCCCTCCCTTGCATCCAGCGAGGAACCTTTTCGGGCTTCTTTCCCGCCCCAAGTGAGCAGTGCGGTTTGCGTGCTGCGTAGCTGCTACCTCGAAGGGTCAGGAAGCCGCCTCGTCTCTGCACGGTGGCTTTCCCCCCCCCTCCGCCAAGCACGGGTCGATTCCAGCTGGCCACGTCGCCCGGGCCTCCCCCCGGATCAGATCCCGCCCCCCCCCCCCGGGGCCGGATGAGGGAGGGAGGGGGGGGCACCTTGAGACTGAACACTTTTTGGAACCAAAATCCTGGCTTTTTCTCCCCTTCTGCCTCTTCCATTGCTGGCAATGGACGGCTTCCCTCAGGGCTGCTGGCCTCTTTGGGTTTTGGGGGAGGCGAGCTGGAGGGGGGTGGGGTTCCTGCCCCGCCCCCAATCCCTGGGCCACAACGGCCTCCTTCCTGTGCTGCAGCTGCCAGGGGGCCCCTCCCAGCAGGCCCTGCAGTTGCATTTCCAAGCAGAGTGCGGTCCATGGGCCCCCCACCACACACACACACACACACTTGGTGTCCTGTGTCTCTGCCTGGGCCTTGTGGGGGGGGGTGTTCCTTGGGAGGGGGGTGGCTGGATTGGGAATCAGGCGCACCTCTGTATCGAGGGCAGGGGGGGAGAGGAGTTGACTCCGTAGACTCCTTTTAACATTTCAGAAACAGGGCATGAGACTTGGAGGGGGGGGGCAGCGCCTGAGCCGGCTCGCATCTCACGGATCGGCTCTAAGACCTGCCCCCCCTCCCCCTGGGGGGCCCTCTCACCAGAGGTCTTTCTCCAGGGCTCCCTCCTCCTCTCTGCCCTCGCGCCCGTTTCCCGCAGTGGGTCCAGCAGCCCGACCTAAGGCCCGCTGCCTGGGGGGCCAGTCCAGGGCGGGGTAGTCCCGCCCCTTTCACCTGCGTTCGCTGGTCCGGGGTGGCCATGGCTCCCTCGGCCCGAGCGACGCCCCGGTTGTGGCACAGGGGGCCGCTTGAGGCACAGCCAGCCTGGCTTCTGACCGCAGGGGAGCGGACGACCCTGCCGGGCATTTCCCTGCCGGGCAGAGGATGGAGTGGGCCCAGCTGGGGGCGGGGGAGCCCCGCTGTCGTCCACGCGGACGAGGACCGGATGGGGCCGCCACGAAGCCTCCCTCCCCTCCTCCTGTCCCTGCCGCCTGTGGTGAGGCCTTTCGCAAAATATTTGCTGGGAGGGGTTCGGAGTGACAGCGTTGGGAGTGCCCCTGCCGCTGTCCTTGGAAATAATGGGGGGTTCTCTTTTCTCCTCCCCGTACGAGGGCAAAGGCATCTGTTCTGCAATAACCGCATATAAATGGGGAGGGGGGGTCACAATACAAGCTCTCTGTCCCCCCCCCTCTCCTCCCTCTCTTCCCTTCCCTTCCCTTCCCTTCCCTTCCCTGCTGGTTCTTTAGACACAGCAAGCAGCTGGTCCCGAACAAGGGGTCATGCTGAAGTCCTCCGGGGTGTTAAAAGCCGCCATGCCCTGTCCGGTCTCTGAAAACAGGGAAAGTTCTGCTGGGGGGGGCAGGCAGAGGACTGGCCCCCGAGGGAGGCGGCAGCAGCAGCAGCGGTGGCACAGGGTCCCCCTTCCTGGGTGGCTTGAGCAATGAGTGCCGGTGCAAGAGCCAGATCTCTCTGGTCAGTGTGGGGCTTGTGGGGAGTGGCATTCAGCGGCGCCCATCTCCCGGCCAGGGCGGTATCTCCACTCCCTCTCTGCTGTGCAAGGCTGGGGGGCTGCTGGAACAAAGGCCCTGCGAGTTTCCAGTTGCGTAGGGAGTTGTGTTTGGGCTGCACGGCCTCTGGGATCTGTCCTGGCCATCTTTGCAATCCCCCTGCACTCCCTCCTTGAAGTGTGGCCCTGGTCCCTTTTCTGGAGAGGCCAGTGCGAGAGATGCGAACTCTCGCTCCAGAGGCCTCCCCCTGGTTCTACGCAGGAAGGCCTTTGAGGCCTGTCTCTGGGCTTCAGGGACAACATCTGCTCCCTCCTCCTCCACGTGTGGACGGGGCTGGGGAGGGGGAGCCCCTCCCACCCCCTTGCAGGTAGGTGCCTTGCCACATTCAAGCGCCTTTTCTCCGAGTCTCTCCTTGGGCTTCTAGCGTTGGGGAGGGCCGTCAGCAGATCCCGGTGGGTGGGAGAGAGTCCGGGGCCTCCTTTTACTATCCCCCCCCCCCCAAGTACAGGCCCTCCTGCTGGCCTCTTGGGTGCTGCTACTGACTTCAGGAAGTGGGGGGGGGGCTGGCAAGTCTTGGAGGGTGGAGGTAACCCCTGTTCGGTTACACCACGGTGTGGCAACCCACCTGTGGAGCGGCACACCGGAGGGCTCCCAGCCAAGCAGCTTGACCTCTGCAGTGTGGGTTTGTGTGTGTGTGTGTTAATAATCAGGTGGAGTCAGTCTCCCTGGAGGGGACCCCGCAGCCCACGGCTTGTCCAGTCAAGGCTGAACAGGCTGTTTCTCGCGAGGCCGCCTTTCAGAAGCGCTAAGCCCCCCGCGCTGCCTTCAGAGAGGTCTGTAGGACTTTGCTGTCAAGCCCACCACCGTGGCTGCAACAGGAGGAGGGCAGGCCTGGGTCCTTCCTTCGTTGCCCTCGCCGCTGCTGCCAGGGTGGCGCTGCCGCCTTCTCGCCACCTCGTGTGCCACCGCCCACCCACCGGGGCCTCGTCTGGTCCACTGCCAGCCCAACTGTGACGCCTCTCCAGCTCTCTCAAGTGCCCACTAGCCCTCGCCCAGCCTGGAGCTCCGGGGGCCGGGGCTTCTTTGCCTTTTCGCAGGAGGCTCCGTCTTGGAAGCAGGTTACAATAATGCTGTATCGGAACCCTCCGAACAAGCCAGGCAAACCCCACCCCGTGTCTGGATTCCGGGGGAGGGGAGCCCTGGAGCGAGGGGGTCTCTCACCCCTTTTCTTTTTTTACTCTTTGCATTGGGTTTTTTTTTTTTAAAGAAAATAAAAAGTGTTCTTTCTGTTTCCAGTAGTTGTGATAGTGGAAGTTTATTAACTTAAAGACCGGCCTGCGTTTAGCTGAGCCCGCTCTGGTGCTGGGGGAGGGGGGGTGTTTTCCAGGACCAGGAACCACCACCACCACCCCTGAGCTCAGTTTGTGAAGTGGGGGGGGGGAGGCGAGTCTGGTTGCTGGGCTTCTGTTGGCCTGGGGGGGGGGCCGCCCCTTCCCTGGGGTTTGTACGGTACAAGCAATAAAAACGGTTCTGTTTTGTTTCCAGCTGGTGTCTCCTCTTCTTGCCACAAGCCCAGCCGGGGGGGTGGGGGGGTGGAGGGCAGAATGAGGGTCCAGGGAGTTTATGCTCGAAGGAGAAGGGGGGGAGGGTGATTCTGGTGGGAGCCCCCTAACCAGCACCTGTGGCTGCTGGAACCCCCTAACCAGCACCTGTGGCTGCTGGAACCCATTCATCTTTGCCTCCCCACCGAGGCCGCCTTCAGCCCGGGTGCCCAACTCCCGGCAGCCTGCCAGGGGCCTTTTCTCATTCTGGAGAAAGGTTTCTGTGGTGGAGGCGGTGGCAGGCCCAGAGCCAGGAGGACACGAGGCTGAGGAGGGATGGCAGCCGGAGAGGGCAAGAGTCACTCCAGGTGGCTTCTCGAAGCCTTGCCGTCTTGGGTGCCCGGTCTGGCCGCCTGGGCCTGGGGGCCACAGAGTTCCTTGCTTGGCTGGCCGGAATGTCCTTGCCCTTCTGCACCTGCTCAGACACCGACGCCTTTGTCCTCCGCCCTTGCGAAGGTGGGATGGCCACCGGAGGCCCACGCTGGGGTGGGGGGAGGCCTATTTCAGCAGCCCTCCAGGCGCATCTCTTCTTCGGCATGAGGCACTGGTGCGTTTCTACAGAGGAAAGGGATGGGAGCCGCAGTAGGGGTGGATGAATGGGGCAAGAGCGGCTGGACCCCCAGGCCTTGCACCTGTTATGGGGCTGAGAGGAATGCGGGTTTTGCCCCAGCCTGGGAAGTCAAAGCTGAGCCTGGGGTGGGGGGTGGGGTTCCTCGGAGAGTCCCTGCGCTTCCCCTGGGCCAGGTCCTAGGTCCTGCTGCCCTGCCCGGGACCCCCCCCCCATCCCTGCAGCTGGGGGGGGGGAGTGAGAGGGTGCTGCACCCTCCCACTTGCTTTGGGCTGGAGAGGCCTCCTGCTGCTGCTGCTGGGGTCTCCTCGGAAGAAGATGAGGAAGAGATTGGATCTACACCCCGTCCCTCCCCACAACAGACAGACACCCTGGGAGGTGGGTGGGGCTGAGAGAGCTCCGACAGAAACGGCTCTTTTTCGAGAACAGCTCTTATCAGAACTATGGCTTGCCCAAAGTCACCCCAGCAGCTGTGATTGGAGGAGGACTGGGGAATCAACCCCGGCTCTCAGTCCGCACACTTCACCGCCACACTTCTCTTGCCGTGGCCGTCTACAGCGCCCCCGCCCCCATGCTTCGGGCTGAGCCCCGCCGCCCCCCCCCCCCCCCCACACCCCCCCGGGGGGGGCCGGCCCCC